CTGTTACCCTGCCCTCCTTCTGTAAGGAGGTTCTACTACATAGATGACATAATACTAACTTCTGAGTGCCTTACAGATTTGGAAGCTCATTTGGGGAACATGCAAGTGCACCTGAAGGAGCGAGGATGGGAAATCAACCCACAGAAGTAGGTGGAATGCCACTACACTGAGCCATCAGCCCATGACAAACAGAGGATGCAGAGACTTGAAGAGTCCAGTGCCCTATTACAATGGGAGAAAGGTCATCCCACCCCCTCTGTGGCTCAGGGATATTTGTGGAAGAGGCAGGCAGAAAGCTTGTGAGAGCCAGGGGAAGGGATGGAGACTGTGACCTGCATGGGGGCAGGGGGACTGGCTAAGGGTATAAAACGGGAAAACCATGAGGCTGGCCCCTTGCCATTTTGTAAGGCTGTCCGGACCCACAGGATTTATGTTTGGGTGTGGACTTTCAGCATCAGCTGTGAATGGGGGTAGGGGGCAATTGTCTGTAAGTAAACCAGCACCACAAGTTCAGTTAGCAAGTCCAATAAACTCATTAAGATTCTTCAAACCAGGGTTTGGAGAATTTTTTTCCTCAGGCTGTTGCCAGGACCTTGGGAGGAGGGAATTGGATACCATGTGCACCTCTCAGCAGTGAATTTGACTTACAATACCTGTATGAAAATGTTCTTATGCAACATGGTACCATGCACAATGAATACATACAATGAAAAATTGAAAATAATGAAAAGGTATGATCAAACTGAGCTGGGAGTATATTACACCTGAGACATGATCATGGGCTTGCTTATCAAGCAGATCTGGGTTCAAATATCTGGCTAGCAAAGTGGCTTCACCTCTTTGAATCTTAGTTTCCCCAGCAATGTACTTAGGAGAGCAGTGAGACCCACCTCTGTCTATCCAAGTACTCAGAAGAACGGTGAGACCACCATGTGCAGCTGCTTCCAACTCTAAGGAACAGGAAATATGAACGAAAGTGGTCAACACATTCAGAGATGGAAATCCAGAGACTATAAAGGCCCTAGTGAAGTTCCTTTCTCTACAGTTGTTTTGTGGCATTTTACCCTTCCTTTTGGCCATTTTGTCTCAGGCACTTTTCTTCAGTGTTAAGTAAACACTATGAAAAGTACAATTACAATATGCTTTCTTTTCTCATCCAGTAGAAAGAGTGAGCAAAGTTCACACAACCATGCAATAAAAGCCTTTTCCTTCATTCTAAGGAGGTCAGCTTGGTTTGTTAGCCACCCCTGTTCAATAAGCTTTTCTCTGATTGGTTAAGATCTAGGTTCTGAGCCAATCAATGTCAAGAAGAATAATACTGCCATGATTAATTAAACTAATTAGATCTATACCTGGAGCTAGAGGCAGGGACCCAGCTTGAGTCTCACCACCTTTCTAAGGAGTAGACAGCATTACCTGGTACATGGTGGGTTGCACAGGCAGAGGGGTCATCACATGCACCTGTGCTTGTTCTCCAAAATCCTGTGGCCAACTGGCTTCACTGTATGCAGAAGGTTGAGCTACTAGGAAAAGAGATCTCTCCCTGATGTGCTCCATTTTTGTGATCAATTACATCTGGTCACCAGCTTGTTGGAACTGAGTCATTTGTGTATGATCTGTGCCCTTTTCTACATTTGTGCTAAAAATAAATAATTTTTCAAAAAATTCAACCTGGTGTACTGTTCTAGTTTGTTTCTTCATTGCTGTGACAAAATACCCTGACCAATACCAACTTGAGGAGGAAAGGATTTATTTGGCTTACATTTCCTGGGTCGTAGTACATCAGGGAGCCCAAGATAGGAACTCAGGGCAGGAACCTGGAGGTAGGAGCTGGAACACAGACCGTGGAGGAACGCTGCTTACTGGCGTGCTCCCCTGGCCCATGCTCAACCTACTTTCTTATACAACATAGACTCACCTGCCCAGGGGTGGCCCCACATCACTCAACAATCAAGAAAATTCCCACACACACATAGTCACAAGCCAGTCCAATGGAGGCAATTCCCCAATTGAGGCTCCCTCAACCCAGGTGTGTCAAGTTGACACTAAAGCTATCCAGCACAGGTATTTAATAAAGCACAGTGGACTCCACTCTCTCCCTTTCTCTTGATTCACTAGGTCTGGAACTGAGACTAGGAGTTTGCAATTCTAACAAGTTCCTGTGGGAGACTGTTGACCACAGGATGGCATGCTAATACTGCTGTCCTAGCTCATTGCCCCAACTCTAGTTTGGACCCCAGATTTAAATTTTGACAATGCTATTTAAAAGTTTCCCAGATAGATCACTGTTACTTGTCCAAAGTTGATCTCATGAACTTGTACCTGTATCTGTTTCCTGTGCTGAAGTCTCTGGTTACTCCCCCTCTCTCATCCACATAAAACATAAAATAAGTTACTAACACCTCTCTCTCTCTCTCTCTCTCTCTCTCTCTCCCCCCTCTCTCTCTCTCTCTCTCCCTGTCTCTCTCTCCCTCCCCTTATGCATTTTTAAACCACCACCACCACTAAAACTTGGTCTGAATATTGCCTAACTTCCCAGCTAGCCTCCTAGCAGCCATACACCAAACCCTTCTTGGTGTGTCTGCCAGAATGACTTTTCTCTTAGTCAAATTTAGCCCTTCACTTCCTTATGTTCCTTTAAATTCAAAGTCCATAGTATAACAAGAGTCTGTGGGCATACCCCCAGCCTCAACTCCCACCACTTCCCAGTGCACACCAGCCATCCTGACCCGAGCTAGACCCTCACACATTCCCAGTCTCTCTCAGGACATGTGTACTGAATTTCTTTCCTGCCTCACCTTTCTCCATCGATACATCAATTCTTAGTCTTTTTTTGCTTCCCAGTTAGGTTGCTTTACATTCTGAAAAAATGTTCAACTTCTGCAAGAATTTAAAACTCTTGGATTTGTCTCTCATGATTCTTACTAAAATTATTGTTAATACTCGAATGACATTCCATTTACTGCTGGGTGATGAAAAGCAGAAATTAAGTTTGTGGTGCACTCCAAAGATAGATGATAGATAAATATATTGGAAGCAACCATGATTTTGTTTGAAACATAATGAGAAAGCTACCCTGAACCTAGAAGGACCAGGAGAAGCTACACAGAAGACAAGGCATTTGAGTTCAACCTAGTCTTGAAAGATGCAGTTTTGCTCTAGTTTGTTTCTCCATTGCTGTGACAAAACACCCTGAGGCTCCCTCTACCCAGGTGTGTCAAGTTAACAACTAAAGCTATCCAGCACAAGTTTGCGAGTGAAAAAAAGACTATGTACAATGTTCTTAGAATGAGCATTCAGAAAAATTGATAACTTTCCAACCCAGCTCTCCCATCTAAAACATATTTTTAATACTCTAAGGAAGTTTGGGACTGTCCTAGAGAGCAGTCATTCATCTAGAAAATTGCGTGTCCAAATTCAAGCTCTGTTTTGTTTATACATGAGAAAGTGTAGCTATAGAGAGACAGGGGCATGCGCGAGCACTCACCTGTGTGGGGGAGGGTATGGCAGTGGTAGTAGGGTCACCAATAGGACATATCACCAATCTTATCCTCAAGTGAGGTTTTGTGTGCTTATAGACTAGATAGAACTTAGAGATTAAAACTCCCCTGGAGATAGTTAAAAAAAAGAACAGAGGGAAGTTGAGGGTAGTCCACTGCCAAGATGACCTGAAAAATAGAAAGAAAATGTCCAAGGGTAAGAGATAAAACAAAAAGTTGGTAGATTGGAATTTGTTTCTATCTTCTCTCTGCACCCTTGTAATACGGACCTCTCTCCTAAGCAGTGTGTCACAAAGAACCAATGGTGTGGCATAGAACTCACTGAGTCTCTGTCTTAACTAAATAATGCATTATAGACAAAGTCATGTGACCCTTTCTCCATTACCTCTCTTCTAAGTTTTAGCATAGCAGGTGTATGTATATTCAGACACCAAAACTGCCATTATCTGGTCTGTGTCCTAGACAAAACAGGCTTTTACTATGATAAGATATCGCCATCTAGAGTTCAATGGCTCATGCTGCAGCAAATTACCAAAGGAAAGTCTACCACCATGGAGGCCTAGAATCCCAGGGAGGGCCCTCAACCCTGTCCAGAGGAGGGCCGCAGGGAAGGTGAGAATTTATCAATTTGCGCCCCTTTGAGCTAGCAACACAACCTTTCTAGAATGTTCAAATTAATTCACTCCCAAACTAAGGCTAACAAACCACCAGAAATATTGCTGGCTTGTAAATTGTAAAGTTTGTGGAATCTTTTCAAGACTAATAAATTGATGCACAAAAGATTTATGCATTTATCAAAAGAATTCTGAGTACAGCAAAATAACTAAAAGAATAATGATCACAATAAGTGATTTGTTCAGTAAACTGCAGAACATTTCACAGTTATCAGAAATATTACAGAATATGACTTTAAAACATTTTCACAACATACATAAGCATATATGCATGCAAGTATAATGCATATGTGTAAGATACAGCTCAAGAAAACCAGCCTACATAGCATCATCCTCCTTTTGGGAGAGTGGGAAAGAGAGTGTAAATAGAATAAATTTACATCAACATATAAATAGAAATTATCAGTTTGTGGTACATTAAAAATGGTTTGGGGGCCAGCTAGATGGCAAAGGTGCTAGCTGCCAAGTCTGATGACCTGAATTCAAACCCTGGGACCCACATGGTAGAAGGAGAGAGCCAAATGCTGCAAGCTGTCTTCTGACCTCCATATAGGTGCTATGACATACAGGCATACAAAATAAGAATGTAATTAAACCTTTAAAAATATAATTTTAGCTGGGCGTGGTGGTGCATGCCTTTAATCCCAGCACTCAGGAGGCAGAGGCAGGTGGATCTGTGTGAGTTCAAGGCCAACCTGGTCTACATAGTGAGTTCCAAGACAGCTGGGGCTACAGGGAGACCCTGTCTAAAAAAGACCAAAAAAAAAAAAAAACCCGGGCCACACTGAGCTGGTGGCTTTCAGCCTCTCCTTGAGCTGGCCTAGTGATGGCGGCGGTGAAGACCCTGAACCCCAAGGCTAAGGTGGCCCGGGAGCAGGCAGCGCTGGCGGTTAACATCACCGCAGCACGGGGCCTGCAGGACGTGCTGAGGACCAACTTGGGGCCTAAGGGCACCATGAAGATGCTTGTTTCTGGTGCTGGAGACATCAAGCTTACTGAAGATGGGAACGTCCTGCTTCACGAAATGCAAATTCAACACCCAACAGCCTCTTTAATAGCAAAAGTGGCCACTGCCCAGGTTGACATAACTGGTGATGGTACTACTTCTAATGTCCTTATCATTGGGGAGCTGCTGAAACAGGCGGCCCTCTACATCCCTGAGGGTCTTCATCCCAGAATAATAACTGAAGGCTTTGAAGCTGCGAAGGAAAAGGCCCTCCAGTTTTTGGAACAAATTAAAGCAAACAGAAATGGACAGAGAAACACTTATTGATGTGGCCAGAACACCTCTATGAACTAAAGTTCATGCTGAACTTGCAGATGTCTTAATAGAGGCTGTAGTGGACTCTACTTTGGCTATTAAGAAAAAAGATTAGCCCATTGACCTCTTTATGGTTGAAATCATGGAGATGAAGCATAAGTCTGAAACTGATACACGCTTAATCCCAGGGCTAGTTTTGGATCATGGAGCACGGCATCCTGATATGAAGAAAACAGTAGAAAATGCATACATCCTCACATGAAACGTGTCCTTAGAGTATGAGAAAACAGAAGTGAATTCTGGGTTTTTTTACAGGAGTGCAGAAGAGAGAGAAAAACTACTAAAAGCTGAACAAAAATTCATTGGAGACAGATTTAAAAAAAATAATAGAATTGAAGAAGAAAGTCTGTGGTGATTCCGATAAAGGATTTGCTGTTATTAATCAAAAGGGAATTGACCCCTTTTCCTTAAATGCCCTTGCAAAAGAAGGCATAGTAGCTCTGCGCAGAGAGAAGAGAAATATGGAGAGGCTGACTCTTGCTTGTGGTGGGTAGCTCTGAATTCCTTTGATGCCCTGAATCCTGACTGTCTGGGACATGCAGGACTTGTATATGAGTATACACTGGGAGAAGAGAAGTTCATCTTCACTGAGAAATACAACAATCCCTGTTTTGTCACATTACTGGTCAAAGGACCAAATAAGCACACACTGACTCAAATCAAGGATGCAATAAGAGATGGCTTGAGAGCTGTCAAAAATGCTATTGATGATGGTTGTGTTGTCCTGGGTACTGGTGCTATAGAAATGGCCATGGCAGAAGCCCTGATTAAATACAAGCCCAGTGTGAAGGGCAGGGCTCAACTTGGAGTCCAGGCGTTTGCAGATGTCTTGCTCATTATTCCCAAGGTTCTTGCCCAAAACTCTGGTTTTGACCTTCAGGAAACATTAGTTAAAGTTCAAGCCGAACATTCAGAATCGGGTCAGCTTTTTGGTGTGGATTTGAACACAGGTGAGCCAATGGTGGAAGCAGAAGTAGGTGTATGGGGTAACTATTGTGTGAAGAAACAGCTTCTTCACTCCTGCACTGTGATTGCCACCAACATTCTCCTGGTAGATGAACTCATGAGAGCTGGAATGTCCTCTCTGAAAGGCTGAACTGTCCCTTTTATCTGAATCTGGATGGCTGCAGAATGATCCAGGGGAAAAATGATCATTTTTGTCCAGGATTCAGCAATTTTCAAAGGAATTTCCTTTTCCCATATGAAGAAAGGGGAGAACACTTGGCACTATTTCAAATTACAATACTGTAAAATCGTAATTACAGTA